CGTATGTTTAGTGGCAAAGAATTCCATTGTTTGGGGGCGCAGAAAGAGAAAATACAAAGCAGGCAGCTCCTTGTTTACTCTAGTTACTCATTTCCTTTGAACCCACTCTATCATTATTTTATACTGTCATTCGGGCTTTGAAACAATTGACAATAACTTTTTTAGGTAATTATTTATTTTCCGCCTATCTTAAAATTAAATAATGTTATTTAGAGCCGAACATGTACCTAATAAAGGACGTGGCAATTAGTTTAGAACAGCCCATTCCAAATACATAATAGAATAAACTCACTTTCAGCAATTCTTGTCAAATTTCACACTTCTTTCAGACGTGGAAAAAAAATCACAACTAATAATTCTCCAGTTCAGACTGTATGGCTCTAAGGATATGTTCAATTGCGCATTAGAATAAAATTCCCGATAACTGCACCAAACAGCGTGAAAATTTGTGTTCAAGATAAAATTCCTTTTTATAATTTGGATTCTTAAAAACACTAGTGGCAATCGAATCAATTAAAATCTGATAAAATAAATTTATAATGTGCGTTACTGGAATGCATGTTTTGTCAAATAACTGTAGTAGCTGGGAAGTTCACGAATTATCACCCCCATTGTTTGACGGGTCATTTCTAGTTCCTTGATAAAAAGTTTACTCATGGTAGAGTTAAATCTGCTTCATTTTTTAAAATGTATGCAATATCATAAATTATTACGTTATTGAGATGTTTTTGTTGTTTATTTTCTTGTTTTCTATAACATCTGATAGAACAGTATGCTATACAAATTAATACCTGCACCTTTACGAGAGCACTCTTAAAAAAAACAAAAAACTACATCAATTTGATGTTGATTAAATAGCAGCAGCATACCGGTATTTACAGGAGCTCATAATCCATTAAGATCAATTTCCATCAGAGATAAAAAGAGTAGACGAGAAAGCAGCTGACAATAAATTCTCTAATGAAATGAGCTGGTTGAGCTTAAAAGAAGGGACTGAAAAAAATAAAAATAAAAGTGCGAAATTACTTCGGGTTTCACATCTAAATGCCATGGTTACAAACCATCTTCAGCCCAATAGCCTAATATCATAAGCAAAACAAAAACAAATGCCATCTCTTGCAGCGGGGATCCAGTGCTGGAACATGCAACCATGCGCTACTGATCATTTGTGTAGAAACGAGTTTATAAAACAAATGGCTTGAATACACGCCGTGACTGCAGTGATAATTTCATGGTACATATTATTGATTACCCGTCATTTCGTGTCCACGGTGCCAGTTATCGTGTGTTTCCGTTTCAGTTTTAAGCTCATGTGATTAAAGATATGAACAGACTCCATTTTATAAAGTCGTGTCATTGAAAAGTTTAAAGTAATTCTTTCAGCAATGCTTATCAAATGTAAGTTCTCCTTCGATTCGATTGTTCTCAAGGAGATGTGAATAAAGTGCGGTGTTATCTATTTCATCTTTGGACTAGAATATTGTTGAGTCGCCTATGTACTATGTTTAAGTATAAGGCATAAAATGGTAGTTTTTGATTTATTTATTATTGGTTCATATATGTGCATGGGCGCCCGCAAGGGGGGGGGGGCACTAAAAATGTATTTTAATTATAACTTAAGCTAAGGACAAAGATATGTTAACCACTATCGTTCATAAATTGTGCGATAAACTCCGATATTTTACAACATTGTGTTTGAATAAGCATAATGGAAGAAGGAAGAGAGTAGAGACGCTGAGCTCATCGATGAACTCTTAATCTATTATTAGCAGTTAACAGAAAGCACAGGAAATAGAAAAATGGAAGAGGTCCTGGAGATAACAAACTTCATATGAAGTCAACGAACGGTCACTGACCTTTAACTTTTCTTTATTAAACGAATGGCTGACATATTGACAAAACTATTTTATCGACAGCCATTTCTTCTAGTAGAATGTGAGACCTTTCAGAGTCGGAAACGCCCACATTTAAAATATAAAAAAAATCAATCAATGCGATCTACTCTACAGTAACAACGTGCCTGCCACGCTTTGCATTAAATTTGAGAAATGTTTTTTCCTTTAAAAAAAAATAAATAAATTATTTTATACGCACTACAAACAAACATTTATCTTAAAGCTTCTAGACTAAATCTTGAGTACCGCTTTATGACACAAACCTAAGTATCTTATCGAATAAATGTTCATAAATAGTAGGCGCCCAAATGCATCTCGTAGAAAGTAGATACATTGTTATGTTTAATCACTACACATTACAAAGAAAATGCTTTATGGTATAGAGCAGCAAAAAGGCGCATTTAATTTTAATCATATTTGCCGTCTGTTGTAGAAAGTACATGCATAAATATTACAGAAATCAGCTGTTTCTTATTTTTGAAGAGTAAGGTCAAAGTCAGCACCTAGAAGTGGGCAATGGACAAACACCTAGTCAGGCAAAGCCGGGTTTAAGGTTGAAACCTGAACACGATTAAATATCCAGTCAATATTGGCTCTCTGGTGCTCAGCAGTAATAGGCCCTTCACAGAGTCAAATCACATGTTGACAGGGAACACTGAATCTCAATTCTTTTACGATAAAGAATTCTCAGGAGAGCGTATTGGTAGCGAGTTATTGAACATGGGTCGACGTCTGCCCCTTGCGTTTCTAGCTTGACCGAGTCGTTAAAAGGTAGCCTGAAAGACAATGGTGGTGGACTCATGGTCTTGTGGTTATGGTTGGGTTTTCCAAAGCTGCCGTGCAATATCAGGATATATTGGCTAATGTCTGGTCAATATAAAAGTGTATCGTGGTAAATGACAAGATATGAGGAATTTCATACACGACCAGGTACGCATACATTTTATCCAGTATCTCAGTTTAACTTTAACAGAATAACACTTTTTAAAATTCATGCGGTTAATAAAACTTTTCTGAATAGGTTGTTTGAAAAAGAAGAGACACAACAGCGACTACGTATTTTATTTAAGACAATTTCTTCTAGTTATTAGATCGATCTCTCAAAAAGTAAGATGATAAAATAATATCACTGAAGCTTTGATTCCTATTATCTATGGCTTTTGAATCTGGTATCAAAATAAATTAAATTATTATTTCTCCTATCATTAAACTTTCATCAATGGATGAATATGTTGAAAAATACGGCTAGATGAAATAATGATGGCCTTATTTAGAAAAAAGAAAAAAAATATATATTCTGAGACAACCTTTCGTTTTGTTAGATCGATTTAATTTCGCATTTAAAATTAAATTTAAAATCACGGAGAGCAGAGGTCCGTTTAATCTATCTGAGCCGCAAGAAGCCATTTCTGCACATATTATAAAACGCGAAGGGGGTAGGGGTTTATTACTAAGTTATAATTATATTGTGTTATAATGAGGTGGGAGAGGTAGATAGCAATGTTATATCACAATAATTTTTATTATTTCATTTTACTTAATTCTAATTTTGAAAAAAAAAATCTCCAAGTTCAAGTTTACAAAGTAGACTAGATTATTTAAAACTAATATGTATTTTTGTTTATAACAATTAGAAAATCTTTGTAAAAAAAAGGGGGGGCTTTTTTAAACAAAATTTAAGTTGTTGTTTCGGCTTGTTTAAAAAAAAACAACCTTTATTGTCTTTCTTGACTTGGGAAACATATGGACAACAAAAGCAAATTTTATTTTAAAAAAGGGTACAAAACAAAATGCTTGTAGTAAAAATGTTTAATGCTAGAATTGTTCTATAATATTAGGGGGGAAGGTCAATGGACATGATATATATCGCTATAAGGGGTAGGAGGTGGGTCAAAAATGTCATATTTTGTGTTAAATAAAAAGTGCGCGGCCCCTAAGGTTCTTCAGAAAGTATTAGGGTCATTGTAAGGGTCATTACAATATTTTGGAAACGTGACTCTGATGACTTTGTCCATGATCTATTTATTCAATGAGCCCCTGCCCCTTAAAATCTGGTGACCTCTGATCGCTGCTAATTTGATCAGCATGCTCTGTCCACAAGGCGTTACTAACTTAATGTTCGTGAGGTTTCAGAAACCATTCGATTAGTCATGTTCTGTTTTTATATTATCACAAACCTAAACCTTAAAGTGATAACATTCTTGACCACTGCAGAGCTCATGTAAGTCTCTTTTTACAATGGTACACAAACTTCAGGGGAAATTCAATAACAGAAATACACCAAAATAGCTGGTTTATTACTTTTTTGTGGGCATATTATGCTGCCATCTTTTATCAACATTTTATGTTATTTACAAAAAGGTTGTTGCCACTGATTTGAAACAACAGAAATCGCTCCAATCAGCAATCACTGACTAATTGTCTCAATTTTGGTTCTGTGTATTTAGTGCTTTATCATTTGGAGCTGTGCAAACACGAAGCAGACGTCAGGGGGGAGGTTAGGAGAGGTCGAGGATTACGTGCGATAACTCCACGGAGAAAGAGAAAATAGTTAAATGAGATTGCAATGACACTCACAAGAAAGATTTTAAATCTCAAGACTGAAGAATAAAACGTGAGTTAAATGTAACTCATCCAAACATCACTGTCCTTGCCACCGTGCCGTAACAAGTTTGCGACACAGGATTACTTTTATTTAATAGAAAATTCAGAGATGAGGTAACTGTGAGGATTTTTTAAAACTGTAATATTATTTCAATGTTATTAGGAATGAATAATGAAGGAATCAAATTAAACAAATGAAATGCAAAGTTTGCGAATTTCAGTGTCATTTAAGGAAATTATGCAGCTGCATTTTTTATATTTAAATCTATACTCATTTAAAATTTTTCATTTACGTTAATGAATTTAAGTTGTCCGTCTCACGTAATCATGAATACACGAGATGGCAGACATGTCTATGAAAGACTGCCATTACCAGGAATCAAACATTTGAGCGGTGAGTGTTGACAGTATACACACATAAAATTCTTAACGGCTAATTGCTGCGGGTTATTTAAAGGGGGATTTTAATTACATCTGCTGTATTTTTCTGAAATATTTGACAGATGAATGCGGAATTCAGGTTTCTGTATAATCAAGCAAGACGTGATCGTGCTTTCATCAGCTAGGAATAGATCGCTGACTGATGTATAAATCTCACACTAAGAATTACAGAGTGCAAGTTTGGTTGCAAAAAATCCTGGGCAGAGATAATGTACTACACAACCACCAACATACTGGATATCAACATGGAGAACAGCGCTATGGTTCGCTATTCAAACATTAACACAACAGTCTCCGTGAATTTATGGGATAATGAGGATTATCTTGGAGAAGTCAACGACCCAAGTTATCATTCAATTCATAAAGTTGCTATACTGCTAGTCAAGGTGCTATTCCCTGTTTTTGTGGCGGTAGGCACAGTTAGTAACATTCTCATCATAGTTGTGCTCAGGAGAGGTGCAATTAACACGGACAACCTCAGCTTTTTCTTGTCAGCGCTGGCTGTGGTGGACACTGTGTTCCTTTATACAAGTGCCTTCAAGAGTTGGATACGCGTTATTTGGGGAGTGGAGTTTCTTCATTTCGGAAGCTGGTCCTGTAAGTTGGGGTTATTCTTGAACCATCTCAGCTTGACCCTTTCTGCCTGGCTGGTAGTGGTCATCGCCTGGCAGAGGTGGTACACTTGCTCACGGCCTTTTGATCGTTGCTGTCCCGTCGAAAGTGCAAGGTGTGGATATATCGGACTTGCATGCCTTGTGTTGGTTTTAGTAGGTGCTAACAGTTATGTTCTAGTGACGGCCGAGTATCATGAAGTAAGTAACACTTTCCTTATCACGTTTAGCTCTATTATTTATATATATGCAATAAATATCAACATATTATTATAGATATAATCGGTTATCCCTAGTGGCGTACCTTGGGGGTTAAGGGGCGATCGCCCCGATCGGTACTTTGGCTAATGTTTAATACAACCTTACAATAGATTTATGTGAGGCACAAATTAGGAGGTTCGCAGCACGGCCGCATTTAAAATATGCACAACTAAACACCGCATTTTTCTTTAATTAAAAAAAAAATGAATTCGTGAAAAAGTTTTTTTTTTTATTAGTGTCCAATATAATGATATTAAAACACAATTTAAAAACCCTCATATAATGATATTAAAACACAATTTAAAAACCCTCATATAATGATATTAAAACACAATTTAAAAACCCTCATATAATGATATTAAAACACAATTTAAAAACCCTCATATAATGATATTTAAACACAATTTAAAAACCCTCCATGCTCCACATATATTGGATAAAATAAGTTATTTCAATCATTGATATTATTGCCATTTAAAGAGAAAAAACTTATTGGTATTGATTTTTTTAAAAACAAACACTTTTGGAAACAAATAAATGTCCCACTTTCGTCAATGAATTAAAGGTTGTTTTTTTTAAAGTATATTTTATCTCACCGTTGATTTACGATTTATGAAATTGAATTTCAAAATTTGAAATGAATGCTGTAATTTTGTGGTCATATTTATTATAATATTATAACATGATTTTATTTTCAAGACACATTATTACAGAAATTGCGTAAGTTCAATTATTCATCACATTTTCTTTACCGGAGACACACAATCTAGTCATTCATTTTCTCTCTTGCGTGAACATTATTTTGTTTCCTGCTAAATGCATAACTTCAGTCAATTATCAGAAACACTAGTTTTAGACCAGATTATGGGATCTTAAAGATTTCTCAAGTTTTGGGGTTTTGGCAAATACTTTTGAAGTTAAAATAATATTTTTTTCAGTCATCGTGGGGCCGAAGTTGCGCCCCGGCACCCGAGCATGATGGAGCAATAAGTGAAGTCTTCCCTTATTTACTCGTTTTACTATACTCTGGACTCCCAGCCTTGCTCCTTATTGTACTCAACGGCCTCCTGGCTCGGGTGCTCTATACCAGCCGGAGGTCCCTGCTCTCACACACGGAATCGTCACGCACCAGAGGCAGACACGATGGCCATGTTCGGGCACGCTACAACTACGTTACGGTCCTGCTCTTGGCATTGTCTCTCTCCTGGCTTGTACTGACGTCGCCACACACTCTGCTTAAGTTTGCTGAACATATTCCAGAGTCATCATTTCAATCGGCGACATTTACATTCCTCAATGTAAGTACTCAGTTATCGAAACAGCAGTTGTTTCGTTAAGTTCTTTCTACTATATATGTGTGGGCTCTAAACAATTAAACCAACTTATGTTTTGTGTATTGCTACTATGACAAGGCGCTAAAACACTCACTCTATTGTTTCAATTTTTATTGACGCAAAGATACACGTTTATTGAACCAAAATTATGACGCGAGAACCAACTCAATGAAATTGTGCACTGGGTTGCGATTTCGGATTATCTCCAGAAAATGCTTTAACAAAACGATTATAACAAGGCCACATTTATTAATAGAAGATTGTTTTATACGCGCGAACCTATTAAACACACTCATACTGTTAATTGAACTGAACTTCATTTATGGTGTATAACTGAATAGTATATTCATATATTAATGAACTCTAGTGATAAAAGTATCCATCCTAGTTATAAAAATCAGAGAACGACATAAAAGCACGACAATCTATTTGTTATTAAACAAAATATGTACTTGCTGCTGAGCTATCACCAAAAAATGACATTAATTTTAAAATAAGAATTATTTTTAAGTATGGATAAGATAATCAGAAAAGAACACAGAGAAGAAGATAAAACAACACCACCACCACCACCACCACCACCACCACCAACAATATAAAAAATCCAAGCGCAATATCGCTTTTATACATAAATAAAATATTGATTTTATAGACGTGTCTCCGACTCTATTTTCAGGTCCTCTTTTTTATATTTCTCTATGTCAACCACTCCATCAATTTCTTCCTCTACTGTGCCTTGACAAAGGGTTTCCGTAGAGAGGTCAGGAGGATCGCCTCCAACATCAAATCGTTAATTATCTTCCTGTCACATTCCTGTTGTTCCCGACCACGACGCCAGCATCTGGATGCTAGCAATACCAACAGCCATCATAGTCACACTGACAGCTTCATGCCGCTACTCGAACAAAATGTGCTCAAGTACCGCCAAGCTCACAACGGCTACAATCTTCACCCGGCCCATGGATTAACCGCATGCTAAAACTTTCCTTCTTGGATTTTTCTTTAAGAAATAAACACAAGTACTCTATCATGAAAACTTAAGAATAACCACCTCGTACTCTTCCTAAATCTTAATACAGATCAGAAGGAAAACTTATCAAAGTCAACTAAAAATAATAAATGTAAAAGAAAATCCAACTAGCCTTGATCTGTTTTCACTGAAATTTCGCTGAAACATCAACGACAAAAAACTAAATAACATTATCGGTTAATATTAATATGTTCATCCATCTGTTAAGGTCCCATATTTTCAATAACGATTGTTGAAGCGTAGTTCTTATTGATACTGTGCTAGGATTCTCGGAGACATGAAATATGATTTACAAATGACGTTAACATTGGTCGGGTATTTAAAGTGTCATTCTATTACATTATAAGGACTTTTGCCAGCCATTTAAAAGCACTGTCATACTGCATTAATCGCATGGCCAAACTCACCAGAGTGCTAACAGGGAGAACTTAATGTTTTCGCAAGGTTTCTGATATGTGATTAAGGTATCAAGGGACCAGCGTCTGATTAAAAAAATCCTATTCACAAAATAGATGACACAGAAAAAAGATTTAAAAGCCGACAGCTAAAGTATTCTTTTTCAATAATAATGGACAAATCTGTGACAAATGTATCAAATTATGAACTCTGTAACTCAACTTCGCACACACAAACACGGGCAAAGTTGATCAATGTTCACTTGTTTGAACAATGAGAGTGCGCACAGACATACTTGAACACCTCACAATGTCCTTTTTTTTTCCTGGTTAGTATTGGTGTTTGGCAGGACTTTTATCTCTCTGATTGTATTTTTTAAAATATCTTTTGTTATTCCAAACAATTGGACAAAAAAGTTTAATGTGATCATTGAAAAATTATGTTTCAATTAACAAGTACATTTCAATATGATCTTGATTTGATTTTGAGCTGATCTCCCAATGGGCAACTATAACAGTTCGAGTTGTCAGTGAAAATGCTGTACTAAATAAAAGGAGACACTAAATGCTTAATCTTTATATATGAAATTAATTCATGAAATGTGGTTGGGTTATAGTAGATTTTCAAGTGAAACAAGGTGTGATTTCCTTCTGTATGTGTGCAAATGGTGGAGTTATCACATATCTAGTCCAAAATAGTACATTTGTATTTTTAAGAGATCAACAGGGCAGTCCAGTGTATGATGAGGCTGAATGACCAACTTGGGGCGTCCAGTAAAATGCTGACATATAAGGATATTCTTTGTTCCTCTTTCTGCTAAGTCACTGCTTGCCATTGATTTATATAACGTTCACAGAGAGATTATTTATTTGCTAATATTCTAGGAATATAATTTATCAATAAAATGCGATTTAAAAAAAAAAAACGGTTTTGTTTATTATAAAATATACGTGAAAATGAGAGTGCAAAAATAGGGAGACTATGTCAACATTAAAAACTATGTGCATATTTCTAGCATGACATATATATTTATATATGTGTGTATAGTATGTATATAAATATGTGAGTGTATGTATAGTATGTGTGTGAATATATATATATCAAATATAAGCGCAATAAGGAACAAATGGAAGTCTAAACAATGTAAACAAAATGCGACATAATGTTAAAAAACGTTATAACAAAGACCTGTTAACAACATAACAGTTAAAGACACAAATCAAACTGTCTGGACTTACCTGACGAATCTTCTCTAAAGCCATAGTAAAGATAAATGCAATGGCGTACAGTTCAGTCCAAGTGGGTATTTGCTTCAGCCTGTCAAGTATGACGTATGAGTAGATGATGAGAAATACCACGTAGCCAATCTGTGAATGAAGGAGACTTTTTTTGAGGTCCATTTATGGAATGCTTGTTTACATTACGGCTCCTATGCCCGAATACCGACATCTAGAGCCGATTTAAGATAGGCAAATATATTATGGACTGATTAAGGAAAAATAAAAACATAGCAATATCTTTTGATCAACAAGATTAAGATAAGTAATAAAAATTTTATATAAGATGTATCATTACATATGTTTTGAACTGTTAGTGAACTCCAACCGAATTCAAGAACACACAAAAAATTAATGTCTAAAAATAATAGACAACATGAAATATTTAATTCGTAATATTTCAGATAATAATCTAGTCAAGCTCACCAATTCAATAAACAAAAGTCAGAGACTAGCAAAAAAAAAAAGCTAATATATTAATGTCCATTTAAGGACATATATCATATATAGGTCTTTTAATTATAAGAACGATTGTGTAGCCCAGAAGCATAGCATTTTGCTGCCATAAAGCATTGACAAAGGCCCGCTGAAGTAAAACTTGACTCTACAACTACAATAAGGTTGTTAACATAATTACTTGTCATCATCCCACAAAAATAGTTTCTTAAAAATAGGTTGCAAAAAATAAGGGGGGGGGGCGGCAGGGGCCCGAAACCGCTGAGTTAAATAAAAGGAGGACGAAATGCTTCATCTTTATAATATACTGATTGATTCTACAAGTCTATATTAACAAGGCAGGCGCCATGTTTTTATATGAGGAGCAGTAACATTAACTTTGGACTCGACGGCCTTAATTTGTCTTTTGCTTGATGAAAGTGTGAGAATGCATTTTTTATAAAACGATTTACCTATAATGGAGGATGGATGTATTTATATTTCGATCATTTTCACTCAATGTTCAGGCTTTTAAATATCTATGTGAAATTACATGCTAGGGGTTAAAAGGAAAATTATTTAATAGAAATGCTATCAGATAATGTGGAACTAATTGAACGTGATGGCTTTGTTTTGTAGAAACATAGAGAAGATTCTTTAAATATTGTAATGGAATCATTTTTATGGTGTGAGAGGATATGTGGGGCAAAAGGAGGGGGGACATTGACAGAGGACGGGTGATTTTAGAGAGAGTGTGGTGGGAGGGGTGGAGGAAAGGGAGTAGAAGAGTGAGAGTTTGGGTTTGAAGAGGGTTGTTGTATGGGTGGGGGTTGAGGGTGGTTTTGTAAAGGAAAGTTTGGGAGAAACCATTAACTTCTTTGTATATATGCCCAGCTACATAATAATTGTTCATACTTTCATTATTTACTCAAGATGAAACCAATGACGCAACTTACTGCATGTGCCCAGAACTTGGTGATAGGAGCGTTGTAGAACTCGTAGACCTTTTTGCCCATCCTCAGTGGGCTCTTCTTCTTACGGAATGGCATGTGTGAGAAGATAGTTGTGTCCAAGGCTCCGTTACTTCCATCCACACTTCCAATCGTACCGTTCTCTTTTAGTGGACTTTGCTGATTGGTAGCAGAAATAGGGTCTGCCATGTCTTCATTGTAATTGTAATCCTGGCAAAAGATAAATAAAAAAGTGACACAATAATTCGAAATGAAAGGAAAATGTGAAATCAATAAGCACAATGAAATCCTAACGCCGCGACCCATTAATAAAGTTCCTCATGTTGTGGCGACCCCCAACCACAAAATTATATTGGTTGCCACATTATAACTGTAAAGTACATGTGTTTTCCGCTGGTCTTAGACGACCACTGGGAAAGGGTCGTTCGACCCCCAAAGGGGTCGCGACCACAGGTTGAGAACCGCTGGCCTAGAAGACTCTGAAATAAAAAACATCCATCTCTAATAAGTATTATAATAAGGACAAGGCACAAGGCACGATGTACGGAATTGTGAGATTTGATGATAGAAAAAGTCGTTTTAAAAACAAAACGGTGGTCTTAACTTTTTGGGAGAATGTTTGAGCAGAGGCATAGCTAGGGCTAGTGCAGCCCGGGGCGGGCCGAGAATATCGCCCCCTCCCTTCTACCAAATAAAATCTGCAATTGGCAAAAAATGCCAACCCTCAATAAAAAGAAGAAAAGGTGCCACCCGAGTCGGACAGCCCCTTCGTAACTCCCCCCCCCCCCCCCCCCCCCCCCTGTTTCCTAAGCCACTGAATTTGAGACTCCTTTATGAATTTTTTTTTGTTTTTTTGAGTGCTACATGTGTAATAATTATCGAAAAGTCAATAGACCTATGATCAGAAGTCATAGAATGAATGACGTGCTTAGTGATTGCCAGTTTTGTGTACCAGTATATAGCATTGAGAAAAAAAAGATTATCTACAGTTAGTTACATTTAGTGAGGACCTTGCTTATTAAATGCTCTAGATATTTATGAGGAATTTGATTGATTTATAAAAGGAACATAAGGTAAGATTACTATTTTAAGAACGCATTAAAAAATAGCTAATTGCTCAGACTCGGTTCATAAATGTCATCCACATAATAAATGCTGAAATCAAACAGTTGTCTTGGATAATCGAAATGACAGAGTTATTAAACAATTGACATACACTAAAAAAATAATTGAAAGCCTCTGAATTAATACATGCCTGAAAAATATTCAACAGCTGCACATAATAATGGCAAGAGTGAAAAATTTCAGGCACAAAATTGAAATTGCATAAGGCAGTTGTCTTCTTCATTTATAATTTTAATCTTCAGATACTAGCAGAAGAATGTTTGCTATTTTATCATGGTAGAAAAGAAACTGAAGCTATAAAGTATTGTCCCTGCCTGGGTTAATTTAGTGTCCTTTAAACGTGATGACAAATCATATCCTACGTGGGGATAAATGTCGACTCTAATCTCAAGGTGTTTACACTAAAGAACGAGGGGGGGGGGGGCGAAACCCAAATGGCTTCACGTGCCATTTTTATCGCGAGTCAACTCTTCGTGGGACGCAAGTCATTATTCGTACTGCCCGTAATGAAGTGCAAAATAACCACCGGAAAAATATTAAACGAATGCAATATGTGTATAATATTTACTCACATTATTAACATGTAAATTTATGTTAATTTATTGTCCTTTCAACGTGATGCAAAATCATATCCTCCGTGGGGATAAATGTCGACCCTAATCTCAAGGTGTTTACACTAAAGAACGAGGGGGGGGGGGGGCGAAACCCAAATGGCTTCACGTGCCATTTTTATCGCGAGTCAACTCTTCGTGGGACGCAAGTCATTATTCGTACTGCTCGTAATGAAGTGCAAAATAACCACCGGAAAAATATTAAACGAATGCAATATGTGTATAATATTTACTCACATTATTAATATGTAAATTTAATGAATAGAGACGAAGTTTAAGTTTGGTATCTGACGCAATGGGCCGGCCATCCCTGCATTGAAAAAAGATGATGAACACAGCTGATATTGGAATGAGGGGCAGTCTAGGAACGAACGCTCAAACAATACTGGGCAATTAAAATTTGTGGTGCAAAATAGCACAGCAACAATGGTAAATAGTATTTATTATGGTAGATAAAATGGTATGTGTATATCAACAGAATTTATAAGCGTATCCGAATAACAGTATAAAACCGATTTGAACGAAGGAATGTTGTTCGAACGGAAGTTATTTGATTCTGAAAGTTTTACTAAGACATCCACGAGTAAAGATGGAGACCAAAGCCCGGTTAATTATTTCGGTCTATTCCAACACTTAACAGTGTCAGACCTGGGCTCTGAATCTAAGTCCCAAGAGAAAAATATTTACCTGCGAGATAAGGTGTGTAAGGCAGTGGCGTAGCTAGGGTTAGTGTCGCCTGATGCGGGAAAATTTTCTTTCCGCCCTCTTCCACGAAAAAAACCCACCCTCTGCAGTTCGCCGAAAATGGCACCCCTCAACATAAGGAAAATGTTTACTGAACAACAAATGCTTTTATTGAATTAGCCATTCGATGTTGCTCGCTCACTTCATAGTTTATAGTATAGTGACGCATAACTTGGTAAGAGCAATAAGAAGTGAGGATTTATATATAATGCTTTTGACGCATTGCAAATTTGACCAAAACTTATAAACGATTCTAAAAAAATTCGTGTACTTTTGACTGACAAATTAAAAAAGCTGCTTCTCTGTATTAAAGCATTCCCTGCAATCATATGAAAGCAAAGTAGTTAAGGCTGTACTTAAATGTTACTTTTGCGGAAAAAAATAATAAAACTTGAAAAACATGGGGACAAGAAGGTAAATATCACATACCGGTACTGACTAATTTGTATCAGTCCATATGGCAATTCCAAAATAAAATCTTCCATAAATATATTTCAGGCAACGAGCGATGAGGCTAGCACAGTCCCATATTAATTAGAAACACAGATATTGGGAAGGAAATCACGTTGACATAGACGTTAATACAAACAACGAGCGCATCTTTTTTAGTATGGTAGCTAAGACCTTAGTGAAAGAACGTGAGAAAACACCGAACAGAGATTGATAAGAAAGCAGATTGACAAAATATGTAAATACAAATTAAGAAAAAATATGTGGGAGAAAAATTTAACTTTT